GGACTTCGCAAACAGAGATAATTTAGGGGCTTGCAGAATTAGAAAAGTATATTCATATATTGACATCCATTCAGAAGCCGTAGTTTAATTAACTGTTCCGGCCGAACAAAGATACAAGTTTGGTTGCGTTACAAAGCAACCTTGAAGTAAGATTCGCGGGTGTAAGACCCTAATACCCAACGTTGTACGACGGCTCTCGCATTTTCGCGAGAAGAACAAACCAACCCATGACTCCAAAGCCCCAAACCCCAAATCCTACGCCGCACTCGCTCAACGTCCGGACGGGCCGACAAGCCGACGCATGGACTAGGGTTTAGGGCTGAGGGGCCCTCAAGGGTTGCTCCAATATCCCGACAGAAGAAAAGTTTCCGGTGCCAGAGATAGACCCCGACGTGCAGGAAAGCTCGAGCGGTCGTGAAGCCGCTCTGCAGGAGTGGGTGTTGCCTGGAAGTGCCCCGGTTCACGCACGTACGTGCAGGGAGGATACTTGGCCTCGGTGATGACGCGCAGCAAGACTGATGACGACGGGCTTTCCAGCCAGCTAATAATACGATTGATGATATAAATCCTGCATTACACATAATAAGGAATATACCATAATTCCCATAGTATAGGGTCCTCAAGGTAACGCAGGATTTATATCATCAACAGTATCTCACTCACATGGTCTCTGCGTCGCTTGCCGCTGTGGGGCTGAACAATCAGAGCTGGGCTTAGGGCAGAATATCTACGAACTCTAGATGATAGCATCCTTGAGGGAGCGGGGGTGGGGGGTAGATAACCTAGCAATCCCCACTTGGAGGTTCATGGGTAGTAAAAAGGTGGAGTTAGAAGTCCCCTAATATAGGTTATAACTATAGTTACCCTACTTATAACCCTAACTACCCATGGAACCTCCAAGTATGACCCCTTATAGATCCCCTTTTAGGATCCCTTATAGAACCCTCTTATAGATCCCTTAAAAGGGGTCTTATACCTACCCATGGAACCTCCAAGTAAGTCTCCCCAGAAAGTTGAGGTTCTCCCAGGATCCCTTCTTTAGGGTTTAGGGTTTAGGGTTTAGGGGTTTAGAAACACCCTCCCCTACTTGGAGGTTCATGGGTAGAGTTAGAAGTCCCCTAACATAAGTTACAAAGGGTCTAGGGTTTAGGGTTTAGGGACTATAGTTATAACTATAGTTACCCTACTTATAGCCCTACTCATAAGAACCCCTGAACCTCCAAATATGACTCCTTATGGACCCCTCTTATAGAACCCTCTTATAGATCCCGTAAAAGGAGCCTTCTACCTAAACCCTAAACCCTAAACCCTAAACCCTAAACCCCTACCCATGGAGCCTCCAAGGAAGGCGCCGACATCACGAAAGAGCACGTGAACCGCAGGGACTCCACTATCCCTTAATTTCAGGAATATACCTTAAATCATACTAGGGATCCTACTATAATTTAAGGTCTATTCCTTAATGAAGGGATATACCTTAAATCATATGAGGGATCCTACTATACTTTAAGGTATATTCCTTAAATTAGGGATATACCTTAAATTATAGTAGGATCCCTAATATGATTTAAGGTATATTCCTTAAAAAAGGGATATTGGAGTCTCTGGGACCTCTTGGAACTTCAGGATGCCTCGAGCCGAAACCTTGGGAGCCTCTACGCTGGGTTTTTGGGCTTTTTAGGGCTCTTCTTTTACCGTAGGGTTTAGGGTTTAGGGTTTAGGGTTCAGGGTTTAGGGTTTAGGGTTCAGGGTTTAGGGTTTAGGGTTTAGGGTTTAGGGTCTTCTTTTGGAACGACCCTTTTTCCATCCTGCAGCCGTCTGATGGTTTAGGGTTTAGGGTCTAGGGTTTGGGGTTTAATGTGGGTATTTAAAGTGGGTAGTGTATATACCCACCTTAAACCGCACAGCAAGGCTCAGCGGGTATGTTATGATAGAAGTTTTATGGGGCCATACCGGAATAGTACATTGAGGCCCCAAGCCCTAAACCTTAAAACCCTAAACCCTAAACCCCTAACCCAAGCCAAGACTCTTGTCGCCCTAAACCCTAAACCTTACGCCCTAAACCCTAAAACCCTAGAACCCTAGAACCCTAAACCCTTTAACATTTTAAACCCAAGCCAAGACTCTTGTCGCGCTGACGGCTTTTTTGCCCGGCAGAGGGGGCTCGCACTGCACGCGAAGAAGGCACCTCGGCTTCTTTACAAGAAATGAGAAAAGAACCCCACGGTGTCGGGTTTAGGGTTTAGGGTTTAGGGTCCTGTTGAGCCCTTATAGAGCCCTCATCCCTCCCTTATTGGGGCCTTTCGACTGGGATGTAGTAAGGAGGGCTATGATCACAATAACTGTCTTGAGAAACAAGTATGACTTCACTCACCTTACCTAAAACAGAGAATCCTACTCAATGTAGGGGCCGAAATAACTACCTATACTATTGTGGGGGTTCCTTATGCTGATTATAGTATAATGGGCCCCAAAACCCTATTCTAATTATTAAGGCCCCTGTATTACCAAGTCCCATGATCCTCCCTAAACCCTAAACCCTAAACCCTAAACCCTAAACCCCTCAAATTGGAGGGCTCAGTTCAGGAAAGGCTCCCCACGTCCGCGGATGAAGGCCGATATCTAGGGCCTGTGGCGACATCGCACCAGTGCCTGGGCAGTTTGATGCTTTGGGGTTCGGAGGCTTTAGGGCACTCGGGGGTTTAGGGTTTCGGGCCCTAAACCCTAAACCCTAAAACCCTAAAACCCTAGACCCTAAACCCTGAACCTTAAACCCTAAACCCTAAACCCTAAAACCCTAGACCCTAAACCCTAAACCCAAACCCACAGGGGCATTTAGGGCTTTGGGGCCGAAGTGTTTTTGCTGTTCTGAGGGGCGGAGGCTGGGAGGACTTCCGGGTTTCAAGGTTTCAGGGATTTCAAGCTTTGGGCCTCAGGGTTTCCCTTTAAAGGGGTTTAGGGGTTTAGGGTTTAGGGTTTAGGGGTTGAAGGTTTAGGGTTTCGGAACCCTTAAAGATCCCAAACCCCATCCTATCAGTGCAGCCCTTTGAAGCCTTTCTTAAAGATCCGTCAAAGGAACCCTAAAGAACCCTTCAAGAAGGAAATGTTACCCTGAACCCTAGACCCAAAGCCCCGAAGCCCTAAACACTAAACCCTAATCCTAAACCCTAAGCCCTAAACCCAAACCCCTAAACCCTAAACTCTGGACCCCAAACCCTAACACGCCTCCCTGTAGGGAACGGCTCCAGGCAAAAGTAGCAAAGT